TTAAACGATCATCAAGTCGCTCCAAAATTTTATTTCTTCCAACAAGAATCGAACCAAAAGTCGAACAAAAATCTCGATCCGTCTTATTAATTAAACAAATTTATGATAAAATATAACGAGAACGTCATTCGTGAATCGATTCTTGATATTTTAATTGTCTCACCGTTTGTTTTATATTCTATTTATAAATATTTATAATTTTTCTTTTTCTTTCTTCTTTATCTTTTTTCGCGCAAGGAATCAATGGTTCGATCGACGTAACACGTTTTTCCTGTTACAATTTTGACTTTCAAAAAAATCAGAGCACGATCTTCTTCGCAAAAGAACCTCACAAGCTGAAGATCTTCCAAATATAACGAATAACTCGAATAACTTGTCACATCTTTGTCCAGTCTCGCAGTGGTTGATCGATCTCGCGGGTGCAATAGTCGAGTGCAATCGTCGAGGTCCACCAGGCAAACCGCGACGATTGCCTCACGTGGATAGGCCAGTTTTTCCCCGCGATTCGAAAATGTTCTGTAGCAATACCGTTAGCACGAATCCAAGCGAGAAAGATCGAGGTAGAAAACGACCATTTGCATCCGTCCATCGGCCGGCTCATCCGATAAGAAGTGTATAAATTTCGTGCACAACGAGCGCGTTCGAAAGTCTTCGCCTCCTGGAAAGGAACGAAAGGAGAGGTATCCCGGTCTCTTAGGCTGAACGAGAAAAGAATCGAACGCGGAATTAAAAGTATGCGTAGGCACGTCGAGGCGTCGAGCGTCCGCGAATGAGAAGTGTCAACGACTGTGGGGTGTAGGTCAGGAAAGAGAGACTCCGTTGATCAAACAATCGATGTCTCTTCCATTAGCTGAGATTTACTTTCCCATTTAGCGACAGTCTGTCATGTATGAAAGTCGCCGCAGGAGACATGCCGCGAAGAACCTTCGGGCTACGTATGTGGGTCACTACTATTGTCCTATATTCCCTCTTCGACTTGGGTTCGTAATTCACTCTATGCACACTCTACGCTCTTAAAGAAAAAAGAAAAAAAAAAAAAAGAAAAGAAAGAAACGAAAAAAGAGAGAGAAAAGAAAAGAAGAACTGAACTCGAAAACTCGACACGAAGTTTCGTGTGGTGTGTTTAACGAAAATCGTTGAAAAAAATAAAGCGTCACCTAAAACGTTATGCAAATGCCTCGACGATTTACGAGCTAGAAAAAGATGGAGGGAATAAAAGCGACGAGGTGTGAAAACGAGACCGCGGCGGTGCCTCATTCCGTTTTCTGGACGAGCGGCCAAAGAAGGCGAAAGGAATTGGCTAGGTTAGACAGAGAGAGAGAGAGAGAGAGAGAGAGAGAGAGAGAGAGAGAGAGAGAGAGAGAGAGAGAGAGAGAGAGAGAGAGAGAGAGAGAGAGAGAGAGAGAGAGAGAGAGAGAGAGAGAG